AACATAATACTCACCCATTTAAACGATGTATTATAATATCGTAAATATCCCAACGTAATTTTGATTTTTTCACTTCCCTTTTAAAGGATCTTGCATTAACAAAATTCGGATCTTGATTTATCTTCACATTATTATAAAGTTTATCATTTTTATATTCGGGAAAATAAGGATTTTCACGAAATACGGTCTCATTATAGGGCAACCAAAATTCAGCCTTTAAAACATAACCAATGGTAAGGGATTCATAGGTTAAATCGACTGGTATACCAATGCCACCAATGAACTTAAAAGGATTAGAATTAATAACAGTTTGTAAAGTAATATTTTCCAATATAACAAACCTGATGTCTGGTTGGTGCCTGGCGAGGAAATATTAGAAATCTTTTATTTCTCAATAATTTTGAGGCGCAAATTACTTTGTAATTTAAAATACAAAAGAAAACTATTGTTATTGTTTCAGCAACTATTGTTGTTTTCATGTTAAAGGTTTGCAACTAACTGAAAAGTAACTTCAAATGTTAAAATAAAAGAAATAATTACCACAATAGCTTGGGAAGTCATTGCTAAGTAATTAACATATTGTTAAAAAATATCACAAGTTTTTTTTAGCTATGAACTCAAATTGGCTGTTCTTAAACTTTCTTAGCATGAAATTATGAACAAAAAAAAAACAATCTTAACCAGATATGAAGGGCCTAATGGGAACGTACCCAGCAAAAATTTTCACATTTGTATGTGAAAACAGAAAATTTTCAAAAATGTTTACAGGTTTGAATCGATGTTCATGGGGTTAAAATAACAAATAATAAGCGCCTTGTAAGGGTTAAGCATTTGGTAAACGTATGTTTTTTTTGTACTTTTCTCATTATTTAAAACAAAATCCTCAATTGTCTCATTTCCCATGGATAAAAAGCACAATTCTTGTAACCAGATCCATGGCACCGGCACAAGTAAAATAGACAAATTCAATTCCAAATCAATGTGTTTAAGTTTAAGCAAAAGCGTGAAGTTTCAAAATAATGTGGAAATTTTCAAATTTAACGATTCTTGGAAGTTGCAAATACAAAAATGCCACCTTAAATCCGAAGAAGATCAAGTGAGAACAAATCAATAAATTCTTTATTTAATAACTCATTGACTCTTTTTAACCAAACTAGGCCAAAAGACGCTTGAAACAAAGGAATTACTAAGATGTTGACAAACCCCAAAGAAACAAACAACAAATTTATTTATGTTTTTTTTTTATTTTTTGTTATTTTAATGATATTTTTAGTGGTTTATTATGTTTGAATAGAAATTACAAGGGTATTTCCTTAAGAGGATGATATTGCTTAATTAAAAAAATTAAAAAAGAACACAAAATCTAAACAAAAGTTTTAAAAGCTCACAACTTAACCAAAAAAAAAAAAAAAATACATACGAAAATAAAATAGAGATTGCAATGTAAAAAATAATGTAATAAATAAACACATATTATAAATGAGAATACTAACGGAAAAATACTATCCTTGGCTTTATGAACAAAGGAAATTTATGTAAAAATAAAGGAAATACAAGTTGTACTTAAAATATTGTAAATGTGTACTTTTACAAAGCTGCCATGGAATTTGTATATAAAAAAAAAAGAACTCACTCAAACACATAGGCGTTCTTAAAACTTACGTATTTTAACTTAAAATAAGTGTACAAAAGACCAAAATTAAAAAATTAAAAAAAAATAATGTTTTAAATTAAAAATGAATATCATTTCATAATTTACTTTATGCTGGTTTCGTGTTAATATACTAATTATTATCGCCTTTGTGAAATTCCTCCAAACATAACTTACAACTCCAAGAACCCTCGGGTGGTGTAACCAAAGGTGGCGATAAACAATACATGTGATAACCACGATCACAATCGTCGCAGAACAACAATTGATCATCATTATCGGAAGTACCACAAATGGAGCAATATTTGCATTCAATACACTGCCAACGATAACGTTTAACCGATATTATCATATTCGGAGTAAACTGCAAACATGAAGGATGACCAGAACGGCCACAGTCAGAGCATGATACCAATATTTCGGGTAAATTGGTTTTCTTATTCTCGCGCTGATCGCCCAAACAGAAATCGCAATAGGGTGATGGCTGTGCAACTTCACGATCATTGGAACGAACTTTTGTCTTGGCACCAGTCTTTTGGGGGCTAGCAGTACTTGCTGCCGGCGGTGCCGCTGAAGTGCTGGCAGTAACCGTTGTTGTAGCTATGGCAGCAGCAGCTGCTACAACGGCTGCTGCAGCAGCTGCGGCCGCTGGTGGTGCGGCCACGGCACCAGACGAATTACTATCGGTTGGTAAGCCCATGGAGGCGTCTGTTGCATGACTCGATGAAGAATTGTCAATTTGTGGTGGTATTGAAGTGGATGTTGTGGCCGTTGCAATGGGGGGATTGTTGCTTGATGGTAATGTCAAACCGGGTTGAGACGAATCATCGGTATTTGTTATAGGTGAGGCCGAATTGGAATGGTTTATGCTGGTTGCAGCAGCACTAGCAGCCGCAGCAACAGCAGCGGCAGCTGCAACCGCCGCAGCACTTGTACTTCCTGCAGCTGAACTAGAACCAGCACCTCCACCGCGACGACGACGTGTAGGTTCACCAGTACCATCACCATCAGCATTAGAACCACCACGACGACGAGTGCCTAGAATGCAAGTGTAAATAATTTTATTTGTATAATAAATTATTTGTTTCATAACTTACCGCCACCTTTACGTCCCCTTTTCGGAGTACCATCAACAGATGTGTTGCCTTTACGCCAACGTGTACCACCGCCGCCACGTTTACGTTTTCCTCTTGTACTGTACGATTCATCGAAATCATTGTCGGACTCAAAATCATCTTCAAAGTCGTCTACATGATGGTGATAGGACATTTCCATATCCTCATGAAACCATCCATCCTTTTCGGCATTGGCATGAGAATCTTTGCTATCATTATCGCCAGAGGCACTCATCGAATTGCCATCGGCAGTTAAAGCTAAAAAAGTTATAGAAATGTTATTATCAGGGAAAACAAGAATATGTTGTAAAAAAAATTGGAATTTGAATTTTTGCCTAAATAAAAAAACTACATACTTTTTATTACTTTTTCAAAAAATACTTTTTTCTAAAGGTAACATTTCTACTACTATTTTAAAAAAATTTCTCAAAATACATAATAAACTGGTTTTTCATTATCAACAGCTAAAATTTAATAAAAATACAAAAAAGGACTTTTTTCATAAAAGTACCTTTTCTACTACTTTTTTCAAAAATTTTGCTAATGACATTTTAAGTCATTTTTTCAATATCAGCAGCCCAATCTAAGTTAATATTTACAAAAGTACTTAATTCTTGAAAGTACCATTTCTACTACTTTTTTATAAAATTCTCAAAATTGCACAATAAACAAGTTTTGACATACCCACAGCTGAAAATTTATAAAAATTTTCCAATATCAGGAACTAAAACTACATTTAATTATATAAATAGTAGTATTTTCTTAAAAATACTATTTCTACTACCATTTTTAAAAATGTTTCAAAATACATACATAATAAACTAGTTTTTCTTTATACTCAGCTGAAAATTAATAAAAATTCAAAAAACGACTTTTCGATAAAAGTACCTTTTTTACTACTTTTTCCAAAAAATATTGCAATCGACATTTCAAGTAGTTTTTCAATATCGGCCCAAACTAAGTAGAAATATATAAGTACTTTTTTTCTAAAGGTGCCATTTCCCCTACTTTTTTATAAAAAGTCTTAAAATTGCAAAATAAGCTAGTTTTTAGTGTCTATAGCTGAAAATTAATAAAAATGCAAAAAAGTACATTTTTTATAAAAGTACCTTTTCTACTACTTTTCCTAAAAAATATTGTAAATGATATTTCGAGTAGTTTTGCAAAATAAGCTAGTTTTTAGTGTCTATAGCTGAAAATTAATAAAAATGCAAAAAAGTACATTTTTTATAAAAGTACCTTTTCTACTACTTTTCCTAAAAAATATTGTAAATGATATTTCGAGTAGTTTTTCAATATCAGCAGCCCAAAATAAGTTAAAATGTATAAAAGTACTTTATTCTTGAAAGTACCATTTCTAATACTTTTTTATAAAAAGTGGCAAAATTACAAAATTAACTAGTTTTACATTTTCCATAGCTGAAAATTTATTTCCTTAAGTACCTTCTATACTACTTTTTTTAAAAAATATATTGAAAATATTTCAATATCCGCAACAAACATGCATTAATAAAGCGTCAAACGAAAAAACTATGGAAAAGTTTGAACAAACAAAACCTCAGAATCTCAAATCCTTTTAAAATGTGTTAATAATTTAACCAGATATCCATACGAATACCAAGAAAAACATACAATTGTAAATTTCTGGTCTCCTTGAATGTTATTCTAAAAAAAGTCCCTGAAAGACCAATCAAATAAGAATGATAATAAAGGAGCAGTGACCTGAATAAGTACTTACTACAACTTATTATAAGTTCTTGTTATAATGTTTACATTTCTTAAGTAAACATTGAAAGAAAATACTAAAAGTAAAAACAAACTTATCATACAAAGAAAAACATCTGTAAAATATACATTTGTATGTGGGGAAATGTTACATGGCAAATTAAAAGATACAGAATTTTTATTATAACAACAACAGCAGCAGCAACAAAATTATAAATCATGTAGGAAAAAACAATAGTAAGAATATAAATCACAACAACAAAAGTAAAAATATAAAATTGCACAAGACAACTAACCAACCAACCCACCAAACCATCCACTACAGTACACTACACACATGCACATAAGCGCACACAATCTTACCCACCCACCAAGGGGTTGCTCTTACAAATTATATAAAACAAATGCAAAACAGTCCACCCAAACCAGGGTAAAAATGAACTTTAAGAAAATTATATAGAAAACCAGATCCAGGGTAGTTAATGAACCAAATAAGTAGAAACAAAAAATTAAGCTTCTTCTTTGGTATCGATTTTACTTTTGCCAGAAATCGAGAAACTCTTACCTGCATTTTCATTGTGATCACGTCCTGAGGTTCCAGCTCCCGTCGAGGCTGTGTAGTGATGATGATGATGGTTATTAGACTCCCGATACTGATAGTGGCGATAGCTGTGATGGTGATTGAGTAAATATTGTCTTTTCGGTTTACGCCAGCGATTCGAGGGATATGTATAGATCTGTCCCTCGCGAAAACCAGGCATACGCTGTTTTTGCTTAACAAACAGGGCGCAGTGGGTCTGTGCAACGCCTGTCTGCGGATCTAAAAAGGGCATACGCAAACGACGTTCTATACACAGACGAGTATTGTAGTTTTCACTATTTTCCAATATTTCCTTGTAGGCGGAATCATTTAGAAAATTTTGTATTTTCTCGAAATTATTAATATTAACAACTTCAATTTCCGGAGCCGACATGTTGGCTGCTGATGTTTCCACAAAATTTTAAGGCTTCCCTTAAAGCCAACAATGCTCAATGTAGAAAAAAACAAGTCTTTGTTGTATATGTATTTTAAAGCACTTTAAAACTTAAATGAATTTCTTCGGTTACATCAAAAATGCTTATATATTTATTTGTTCCATTACTTTTTAAGTTTTTATTAATACTTTATAGATTTTCTTTTAAATATTTATGAGTTTTTATAGAGATTTTTCAACAAATATACGTTTGATTTGCATTTTTTGCAGACAAACAAGTTTTTTTCTCGATTCTCTTTTACGCTTAAAGTCCAGCGCCGACAAATATTAACAACGGCGGAGGCGGACACTAAAAATGTCGTCGGCGGCTTAAAATCGAATGTATGCTTGGTTTTCAGCTAAGTTTTTAAGTTTTCAATTATTTTAAATAAAAACGAAATCCGAAAGTGGGATTTTGAAAACAAATATTTTAAATTTCGGGATATTAAAAAGTAGCATACATAAATTCTTGATTTAATACAACTTAGGGTCTCATTTTATAAAACGAAACGACAAACGTTCAAAAAAATTTGTATGGAAAAAATTCAAATTTTCAAAAATTTCCCAGTATTCTTCATACAAATTGTTTACGTTAACGAAAGTTTCGTTTTATAAAATGAGGGGGTTAATATAAAAACAAATTAGAACGCTATATTTGGGTATACTGATCCGGAAAAAATTTCGCAAAATAAATCGCATATGTTTAAAACTTGTAATGAGTGTATATACAGTTTGACCAATTAGGGGCAGACCCAAGAAAAATGTCATTGAATGTTTTGTACATATCCCGATATCATTATTAATTCATGACTCATTTACTATTAAATGGTATTCGAACTTTTGAGTTAAGGGAATTGTGGACCCTATTCGTCTAGAGTTTTATCCCGATATCATTATAAACTGATGAGAAGAAATTACAAATTATGGGGCATATAGGGAAAAAAGTCAGTTTATCAAATATTGTATTTTTTATTTTCAAAATTAATTTTTAATTTAATCGATAATAGAATCGATAAAAATAATATTTGAACATATCAACTTTTCCAACCCTGTTGCTTACACTAAAAATGCAACTGTGTGTTTGTGGAATCTATTATCATTTATTAGAAAAAAATTGTGATTTGTTGTTTTTGGGCGTGGAGCTGCTTAAAAATATTTTAATAAATTTCATTCGAAAACTAGACAAAACAATTGGAAATAAACACAAACATTATGGGAGCCAGTAATCGTAATACACGAATAGCAGTTGGAATATCAGGATTTGCATTTTTGCTATTTGTAATAGCATTTGCAACACCCTATTGGTTAGTCACAGACGGACGTCTACAAAATCCTCGTTTCACAAATTTGGGCTTATGGGAAGTGTGCTTTAATGGCTTCCAAGATATACACAGATTCTACGATACACTCTTCACGGGCTGTATGTGGGTATTCGAAGAGGAATACTATATTATACATGACTTTCTGTTGCCTGGCTTTTATATAGCCGTACAAGTGTTTGCTACCCTGTGTTTTGTTATGTGTTTAATCGCCCTACCATTAACGTTGTCTTTCCTGCGTACGTCCCGTGATGATGATCGTTATGTATTCTTGCTGTTGACCATAGGTTCTTGTCAAGTGTTGGCTTCTTTGTTTGGTTTCTTAGCAGTGGTAATATTCGGTGCCAAGGGTGATTCGCGTGATTGGATGCCTCATTGGCAAAATAATGACATGGGCTGGTCATTTGCTTTGGCTGTAGTTGGTGCCGTCTTCCTGTTACCCGGTGGAGTTTTATATATGATTGAAGCTAGACGTGAACGTTATAAGCGTCTTAATGAGATCAGTAACCGTGAGGCTATAAGTGAATACGGTGGCGATGTTGACTACTATCAGCATGCTGCTCAACAAGAACTGCAACGTCAACAGCAGCAACAACCACCACCACAGATTGTCCAATCTTATCAAGCGCCTGAAACTAGCAGACCAAGACGTCCCCAACCGGGTCATCGTACACCCACAGCTCCTCCAACGGTGGCTATTATTGGCGGTGGCATCCAAACTGATATATAGATGCAGCGTACGTAAGTAAAACGTATTTTTGTCGAAACATATCCGTCCAAAACGCATCACACATTTGCTGCTAAAAGGTCATAATTCAAAATCTAAAGATTTTTTCCATAATTTTTAAATTATCCAACAAATAATCTTAAAATCAAAAAACTTATGAATCTCTTTCTATAATGTTCTTAAAAATGATTGGAAAATTACTATAAATCAAACTTGGTTTATGACCCTTTAGTAGTCAATGAGCGACTTGTATTTGTAGTCTTGTTTTTAATTTTGTCCACTATTTGTCATAGCTATTAAGTATTTGTATAGTCTAACTCGAAATTTTGTTATCCGAATATTTTTGAGGCCTTAAACAAAAAGTACTGTATTTTACTGGTATTGCCTTTTATATACATACATTTATATTTTACTAAAACATGTCCAATATTTTATATAGCATGCTATATTTTTCTCTACAATTAAACCACATTCCAATTTTTACTAGCTGATGTAAGTTTAAAATTGTCATGTATTTTACGAATCAATAAAGTATTTTTTACAAATTTTTATGAAAAACATTTACAGAGATCTTGTTTGTTTTTTATTAATAACATTTATAAAAAAATTATCTCAAATATTAGTTTTTTTATTTAAGAAACTTCTAATTCATAGAGTTTTAGTTTAGTTTTTCTTAAAAATAGTTTAATCTTTTTGACCCTCAACAATAATTAAGTTTTAATTCCGTTCAAACATATTTTGTACATTATTTTTTTATTAAATCTATTTATACATTTTAAATATATGCTAAATCCATTTTTGTGCTCAATAATAATAATAAAAAACTTAAACTAAATTACTAACAATTTAAACACATACGCCCAAGTTTTAATAAACGTAACTTTACAAGTCTTTAAAAAGTTTCTTTTAATGTGTTTTGCTAGTATGTATTTGTTTTTAATAAATATCCAGACTAGAGTCTTTGTTTCTTTCATAACAATGAAAAATTTGATATTACAACCTAAAAAACATCTTAAAATTTATGTTTAGCACCCAAAACTTATATAACTCATGACACATGACCATTCATTGTAGTGGACGGTAGGTCAGAGGATGAGGATTTGTTTATATCTTTTAACCATTTCTTTGGCGCATCCGTCTCATTGGCACTAGATTCGATTATAACGAATAATTCCCGATCATTGGCTTGTAATTGTTGTCTCAAATACACAAATAATTGTTGTTCTGTTCCTATACATTCGGGCACATGCAGCTTAGAATCTAAATTATAGTACTTTCCCTCTATGGCACGCACTGCTATCCAATGTCTTTTGTGCAAAGGTAGTGTTATAAAGCCGAATTTGTAATCCGAAGGTACATTTAAAATAAAACCCACAATAACGCTCAAGTCAATGCATTCGGGATCCCTTAAAGAAACAATTATATAAGTTATTTTTAAAAATGTATCAAACATGTAGGTATGTATGAGTCAATAAACTGGTCCATAGATTAGTTAACAGACTAGTCTATAGATTTATCAATAGATTAGTTCATAGATTTATCAAAAGGCTTAACCATAGACTAATCCAAGGAATAGTCAAAAGAGTAGTAACCTATGGATTAGCCCATACTCAATAGGATAGGGTCATAGACCAATCAATAAACAAGTCAATCGTCTAGTCCATGTAATACTGAAAAGAATAGTTCATAGACTATACGAAATATTAGTCAATCAACAAACTAGAAAATAGATCTTCCCAGCTGTACAACCTCCTTGTACTTACTTGCGTTTGTCAAACCAGGCTGCCTCACAGTTGCGTAGTTGCAACGCCTGCATTATAACATTGATGTCATAGTTACCCAGACCCAGCATCGAACGGTGAGGATTTAACCATACATTAGGATTTAGATTCGTGCAAATCTGGTCCAATTGCTCTTTGGTAAATGCCTGACGAGCTAAGTGAAAAACAAAAACATGAAATTCTTTAATTTCAAAACTATATGACTAAAATACAATAAAAATCACGTACATTGAAATAAATTGTTTAATGTATGCAGAGCGCAAAGCTGACGTGTTTGTCTCTCATGATAAACTTTTGGATTTGTGGAGGGCATTTTGCGAAATACCTTTATTTTTAACTTATTTGGCTTTTAACACAACTTAATTAATTTAGCAAACTATAAAAACAATTTTTAGTCCAATACGATTTCTATTTTTTTAATATATTTTTTTTGACAACAACAAAACAAGTGTAAAAAAGTGCATCAAATTTTTTCGCTCAACTTCAGAGATCTACGTCGTCAAAAATTAACGGCTGTAGCCGTTGACACTATAAATTTCGACGGCGACTTAAATTTATGTCTTCAACTGTGTGTTTTAAATTTTGAACAATATTGAATGAAAACGGTATCCGTTTTAATTTTGAAAGAAAATATTTTGAAAATGTGAATTATATTTTTATATTCATATCGGTCTTTAAGACAAGTTAGAAAGCTTTATTATAAAATTTCTCTTGATATTAGATAGATGGTTAGGTTAGATCAGAATTTCTTCTTACATCATGATTTCCAGATTTTTTGGAAATGTTTGAGACGTCGTAACATCGCGAAGAAACCTTTGTTTTTAAAATTAGTTAACTTATAACTTCTGGTAAATGTATGGTTCTTTCCAAGTTCCAAGGTTAAAATATCTACAAGAAAAATGTGATATAATGGAGATTAAACCTTTATTTTAAAGTTCACATATTAAAGAGATTCGGATGAAACATCAAATTATATAAATAAAGATATTTCCGCGCTATTACGTCTCAAAAATGGCTAAAGCAGGTGTTTTTCAATTTTAAGGATACGATATATCAAAAGTTTTGGCAAACATGTCTGACAGAATTATTCAAAATTAGGCTCTTGCAGATATCTGGGATCTTCTTAAAACTGATTTAAACATTCATACGGACATGGCTATGTCGATTACGCTATTTATAAGAACTCTGAATACATGGTATACATATAACGCCTCATAATAAAAACATTTATTTTTATTTTTTCTTCATATTTATTGGGGGAGCGAAGCACTTTGGTTACATCTATTATGCGATTAACTTATAATATAATATACATATGTGTGTGTATAGTCCAGAAAAAATACTTAATATAAAATTCGGCAATTTTTTTAAATAATTTTCCTGGACTTGTTTCGTAAAATTATTAAAGTTAAAGTACAAATTTAAATAATATAATAAATATAATCATATTTTAAAAATTAACATTCCTGCATTATCTTGATTCACACTTTTTCATAATTAACAACCAAATGTAAGAAATTGTCTGGATAACTTAAGTGTTCGGACATCCATTGAAGATGAGTTTCTTCGTGAATGTTAATGCCATGAGTACGAATGCCAATTGCTTTTCGGTTAGATGTAGATAATTCATTCAATAAATCTCTGACTGTTTTCTTTGTTCCACTTTCCATTAATGGTGATATAAGTTTCTGCATGTAGTTAGTGTCCTCGCTATAAAATCGCACTGGAACATGTCTAAATGTGTCCAAATCCCCGCTGGGTTCCATTAGTCTTCTATTCACTGCCCAAAATTGATCAAACTTATCGTTAACAATGCCAATCCATAACTGGTTATGTTCCTTCTTTTGCATCGATGATATCACTTGACCTCTATGTTTAAGAACATCTGCTTCCTTTAAACATGACATAAAGTATGACTCTAATAAATCTTTTGAATCAAATTTGACCAAAACATCTTCGGGAAATTTTGAAAAATGTATGGTTAAACACCATGGTTGGCTATCGTTATCAGTTTGCAAATCATGTAGAATTCCTATTGGATAATGAAGTTTTAAAGGTATTCCATTATAATCAAACCAAACAACTCCATCCTGCTGGTCGGCAGCTATAAAACGACTGAAATATTTCTTAACTTTGTCTGTAACAAGTGGTAAATAGCTTAAACGAGAAACCATTAAATAAAAATTTTCCGGCTGAAGTCCAACAATTTCCTCAGGATCAGCTTGAAATGATAGTGCTATTTGTCCTTCCCAAATCATACGCAAAACTTCGCGATCATAGGCCATTTTTAATCTTTTTTATGTGTCCTATAAGAAAAGAAATTAATTTGGACACAAATCCCAACGTAGATGTTTTAATATTAATTTATAAAATATTGTTTTGCTAATACTTGTCTTGTTTTTTACGCTTGTTTTTTTATCAACAAAACATCTAATTTGACAATTGTGTATTTCACACAGGGATGGAAAGTTCAGCACTGTAGAACTTTTTGTTATCGAAAAATACTAATACCATTTTTTCATTTCTTTTTAACTTAAAAACTTTGTCTAAAGGCCCAAATAGACTACACAAGCGGCTTGACAAACATACCAATATTTTACGTTTGTGCAAGCCTGTTGTGTAGTATATGAGGATGTTTCGTGTTTGTACAAATGCTTGTTGTTTGTTTGTACAAAAATTAAAAAATTTTGATTTTTACACAAACATATTGAATTTTTGTCAAACCATTTGTATTGTTTATATTCAATAATAAAAAATTTTTCAAAAAATTTACATTTCTAAGAAAAATTGACATCTGTATCTTTGAAAGTCCACAAAAACGTGAAAAATCGGTGTTTGCACGAGCAATGTTTGTGTAATGTGTGTGCGAATGAAAAAAGTATGTTTGATAAGCCGCTTGTGTAGTCTATTTGGGCCTTAATAGACTCAAAAGATGCGTCTATAGTCTACTTTATCATCTAAAGTCTAGTATATATATTAGTCTATAGGCTAGTATATAGTCTAGTGCATAGTATAGTCTATGGTATAATCAATAGTTTATTCTATAGTTCAGTCTATGGCATAGGCTTGTGTACAGCATAGTCTATAATCTAGTTTATATTTTAGTCTATAGTGCAGCCTAGAGTCTAACCTATAGTATAGTAAATTACTTTGTTTATATTCTAATCAAGTCTGGTCTATAGTGTAGTCTAAAATCTATTATATAGATTCTTCCATAGTTTAAAGTCTAGTATATATACATATTAGTCTATAGGCTAGTATAAAGTCTAGTGCATAGTACAGTCAATTGTTTATTCTATTGTTTAGTCTATGGTATAGGCTTGTTTATAACATGGACTATAATCATGATAATATTTTAGTCTCTAGGCTGCACTAGAGTCTAACCTACGGTCTAGTATATAACTTTCTTTATATTCTAATCAAGTCTGGTCTATAGTATAGTCTATAACCTACTCCACAATATCGGTTAGTCTTTTCTAAAATTTTAAGAATTACTATTTAATTTTGGGTTGGAATAATTTTTGAGAGTTTTTTTTTCAAAATTTCCATTCCTGTTTCAAATACCCTTTTGCTAACAACTAGGGTTCTATAAAGTCGAAAAGTCGAAGTCGACTATTTTGTTCCAAAAAAGTCGATAACTCGACTATCGTCTATGAAAAAAGTCGAAAAGTCGACTTTGTAAATAAAAGTCGAAAAGTCGGAAAGTCGAAAAGTCGAAAAGTCGAAAAAAGTCGAAAAGTCGGAAAAAGTCGGAAAAAGTCGAAAAGTCGGAAAAAGTCGAAAAAATCGAAAAGTCGAAAATAGTCGAAAATTTTAAAAAAGTGGAAAAGAGGTCAAAAACTCTAAAATAGTCGCAAAAACTCGAAAAAAGTAAAAAAAATAGTCGAAAAAGGTCGAAAAAAAGTCGAAATAAGTCGAAAATTGTCAAAAAGTCGTAAAAAATCGAAAAGTCGGAAAAAGTCGAAAAGTCGAAAAAAGTCGGAAAAAGTCGAAAAAAGTCGAAAAGTCGAAAAAAGTCGAAAAGTCGAAAAAAGTCGGAAAAAGTCGAAAAGTCGAAAAAAGTCGGAAAAAGTCGGAAAAAGTCGGAAAAAGTCGAAAAAAGTCGGAAAAAGTCGAAAAGTCGGAAAAAGTCGAAAGGTCGAAAAGTCGACAATTTATAAAAAACTAAAAGTCAAAAAGTCTGAAAGTCGACTTTTAAATAAATGAAAAAGGTCGAAAAGTCGAAAAATCGACTTTTCATAAAATGGAAAAAGTCGAAAGGTCGAAAAGTCGACTTTTAACTAAATGCAAAAAGTCGAAAAGTCGACTTTTCGTTTCAACTATAGAACCCTACTAACAACGTACAGATGTTGTGATTACAACTCCGCAACTAATTGTTCAAATTTTCTGTCAAACTGTCAAACTTCATAGAGAAAAAAAGGTGTTTAAAAACTTAAACTGTCAAACTTTATATATAAAAAATAAAATATTTACCAGATGTTCTAATATCTTCACCTTATGTAGATTAGATTTGTGAACAATAAATTACTTAAACAGTGTTGGTAAGTGTAAACATAAAGAGAACCCACACATTAACAGGGTTGCATTTAATATTTCTCATAAATATTTTAAATATTTTTATTAATTTTTTTAAATTTTATATATTATTTAAATAATTTTACATATTACACTAAAATTTTAAAAACTTAATAATTCTAAAATTGTTTTTTTTAATAAAAATATTTACTTTTTAATTTTTTTTTTATTTTTTCCACAACATACGATCCACCACCAACTTCAGGCATATTTCTTAGTAAGAGAACAACTGTCACATGATTTTCACCTGACTGACATTTTTCTTCGCGAATTTCTTCAATAAGTTAAACGACGAAAAAAATAATAAGGATTTTCCCTTTGGAAAATTATAGAAATTCAAACGAAATTTGTTGGTCTAATTAAAAAAACAACATCAAAATGAAAATCTGTGGTCCCAAACTATCCCTCTGTGGCTTGATTATCTCCGTTTGGGGTATTATTCAATTGGTAAGAAAAGAAGATATACAAAAATAAAGAAAACGACGAAACAGAAAAAAAAAACTGGTGACTGGTAAAATACGAAACAATGGCGTATATGAGAATTTCTCTATGCATAATAAAAATGATAAAAGGGGTGGAGACGACCCTTAAATTAAGCTAAAAAGTGCATTTTATGGTGTTTTCACAATCATAAACTTTATGAAATATTTTGAATTGGTATTTAATTTTTTCTATTTTTAGGTTTTGATGGGTTTGTTCTTTTACATTCACAGCGTAGCCTTGATTGAAGATTTGCCCATTGAGGAAGAATATCACAGCTTGGAGGCTTTCTATACAGATGCCAATGCTGCTTATAATCAGGTATGTACGAAGTGATGAAGTCATAATTTATTAAGAAATTTTAAATAAATTAAATTTGCCTTGAATATTTAGAGCTCATACATGTTGATATAGTGACCTTGAAATGCGTTTCTATATGGTTTTGTTATCGTTGGTTGGGCTTTATCTGTAGTCAGCTAGTGTTTTGAACTATTCTTAAGTTTTATCTTATTTAGGAAGTTCTTTGTTAAATCCTACAGTGACGGAATGTAAATCATGTGAATTTTTGTTAAAATATCGGGTCATTTATTGAAAGGAAATAGATATTTTTGATACAGTGAAGCAGTAGACATATCCTACTCTAGTAAATCTACATCATGACAGACTAGTCAATAAACTCGTCAGTAGATCAGTGGGCTAGTCAGTAGACTAGTCCGTACACTAGTCAATAGACAAGTCCGCGAACTAGTTCATCTACTAGTCAATAAACTGTAATATTAGTAAAGTATTTTAAGGGCGATTAAAACACGATTTCCATTTAACAAAAAGTTTTGAAATATTTTATTAACTTTATTTCTTTTCTTTCAGAATGCCTACAATTGTTGGATTGCTGCTTGTATTTATGTCTTGACTCTGTTGCTCTCTGCCCAACAGTTCTATGTCAACAGTAGAGTAACTGCCAACTAAATATCATAAATACAAAACAATAAAATAATCGTCAAATGCACATCCTTTTTCTACCATGCCAACCTGCAGTGTTTGAAGGAAAATCAATTTACACAAATCGAACATCATCATGAACAGTTTTAATTTATAGTCGTCGTTTTTTTAATAAAAAAAAACTCTGCTCAGGTTGGGAAAAAGTTCAAAAAGCATGTAGACGTTTTTAGTTGCAATCACCTCTTCTCCAACAAACCTAAGCAGCAACATCTTGAAACCACCATAAGATAATAAAAGAAAACAATGACGATCATCATTATTAGTTAGTTTTAATAACAACAACATCTTATTAAATTTCTTTAAATTCAATAAAAAACATGTGTATTTTTATTAACATCTTTAATTTGGTAAATTGTTAACATGTTTTTGAAAATTGTTTAATGTTTTTCTTTTTGTGCATGTGATTTTCTTTTTTTATTTCTATTCTATTCAAGAAATTGAATAAAAACCAATTCTACATTCCTTAAGATCGTCATTGCTTAGCGTCCTAATAATCATTATTGTCAGAGTTTTCAAAGTATTTTTTTTCTCTTTAAGTTAATTTGTTTTAATTTTTCATTTTTTTTTGTTTAATTAATTTTAGTAATTGTTGTTTAAAAAAGAAAACATTAAAAAAACTTTAAAATGACCTAAAAAAATATACAAAAACTCATCTTTTCTGTTTAAAATTATTTAAAATCAAGTGTTATTATAAAAATATTTGAAAATAAACTAATAAATTCAAAATTTAATATTAATTCTTAAAACAAAAAGCTATTGTAAAATTTTTTCTTAAAAAATAAAACAAATGTGTATTTATCTTGTTTTCGAATATGTATTTGTACTTGTGTGTGTGTGTTTTACAAAAATTTTACAATACCATTTTGCCTTAAATTTTAAAGACTTTTTGTTAAATTTTGTATTTATTTGTTTAATTTTTTCCCAACTGTTAAGAACAAAACGTCGTTTTCATCCCTTTTTTTTGCAGAAAGATAAATGTTTATGTATATTATTTTAAGCGTTAAATAGTAAAAAATTTAATTGTATAATTACTGGTGTATATTCAATAACATGAAATAACTTTAATAAAAACTATATATATTATATATACATACAAACAAATAACAACAACAACAAAAAATTATTATTTTTAATTAAAAATAGAGAAAGAAAGCTTCCTCCCAGTCTATTCTATAGTATTTTCAATAATCTATAGTCTAGTCTTGTCTAAAGTGTAGTCAAAAGTCTAGTCCATAGTCTAATCTATGGTCTAGTCTATAGTCTAGTCTATAGTCTAGTCTATAGTCTAGTCTATAGTATAGTCTATAGTCTAGTCTATAGTCTAGTCTATAGTCTAGTCTATAGTCTAGTCTATAGTCTAGTCTATAGTCTAGTATACAGTCTAGTCTATAGTCTAGTCTATAGTCTAGTCTATATTCTAGTCTATAGTCTAGTCTATAGTCTAGTCTATAGTCTAGTCTATAGTCTAGTCTATAGTCTAGTCTATAGTCTAGTCTATAGTCTAGTCTATAGTCTAGTCTATAGTCTAGTCTATAGTCTAGTCTATAGTCTAGTCTATAGTCTAGTCTAGTCTATAGTCTAGTCTATAGTCTAGTCTATACTCTAGTCTATAGTCTAGTCTATAGTCTAGTCTATAGTCTAGTCTATAGTCTAGTCTATAGTCTAGTCTATAGTCTAGTCTATAGTCTAGTCTATAGTCTAGTCTATAGTCTAGTCTATAGTCTAGTCTATAGTCTAGTCTATAGTCTAGTCTATAGTCTAGTCTATAGTCTAGTCTATAGTCTAGTCTATAGTCTAGTCTATAGTCTAGTCTATAGTCTAGTCTATAGTCTAGTCTATAGTCTAGTCTATAGTCTAGTCTATAGTCTAGTCTATAGTCTAGTCTATAGTCTAGTCTATAGTCTAGTCTATAGTCTAGTCTATAGTCTAGTCTATAGTCTAGTCTATAGTCTAGTCTATAGTCTAGTCTATAGTCTAGTCTATAGTCTAGTCTATAGTCTAGTCTATAGTCTAGTCTATAGTCTAGTCTATAGTCTAGTCTATAGTCTAGTCTATAGTCTAGTCTATAGTCTAGTCTATAGTCTAGTCTATAGTCTAGTCTATAGTCTAGTCAATAGTCTAGTCTATAGTCTAGTCTAGTCTATAGTCTAGTCTATAGTCTAGTCTATAGTCTAGTCTATAGTCTAGTCTATAGTCTAGTCTATAGTCCAGACTATAGTCTAGTCTATAGTCCAGACTATAGTCTAGTGTAGTCAAAAGTCTAGTCCATAGTCTAGTCTATAGTCTAGTCTATAGTCTAGTCTATAGTCTAGTCTATAGTCTAGTATTTAGTCTAGTCTATAGTCTAGTCGATAGTCTAGTCTATAGTCTAGTATTTAGTCCAGGCTATAGTCTACACTGTATTCTATTCTATAGTGCAGACTATAGTCTATAGTCCAGACTAAAGTCTATAGCCCAGACTATAGTCTAGTCTGTATAAAGTTTGACTGTAGTCTAGACTATATTTTAGTCTGTAGTCCAGGCTATAGTCTAGTCTGTAGTCCAGACTATAGACTAGGCTATAGTTTACTCTATAGTACAGACTGTAGTCTGGACTAAAGTATATACAGTCTTTTGTACAGACTGTAGTCCCAGTCTAGTCTATAGTATTTTCAATAGTCTATAGTCTAGTCTTGTCTAAAGTCTAGTCTAAAGTCTAGTCTAAAGTCTAGCCTAAAGTCTAGTCTAAAATCTAGTCCATAATCTAGTCTACAGTCTAGTCTGTAATCTATAGTCTAGTCTATGGTCTAGTCTATAGTCTAGTCTATAGTCTAGTCTATAGTCTAGTCTATGGTCTAGTCTATGGTCTAGACTATAGTCTATAGTTCAGACTAAAGTCTATAGCCCAGACTATAGTCTAGTCTGTATAAAGTTTGACTGTAGTCTAGACTATATTTTAGTCTGTAGTCCAGGCTATAGTCTAGTCTGTAGACCAGACTATAGACTAGACTATAGTCTACTCTATAGTACAGACTGTAGTCTGGACTATAGTCTACACAGTCTATAGTACAGACTGTAGTCTGGACTATAGTCTAGTATAAACCAGGCTATAGACTAGACTAATCCAGACTATAATACAGTTTACAGTCTAGTTTATAGCATAGTTTATAGACTAGTCTCTAGCGCGGACTATAGTCTAGTCTATAGTACAGATTATAGTCTAGTTTATAGTACAGAATAGACTCTAGACCTATAGTCCAGACTATAGTCTTGTCTAAAGTACAAACTATAGTCTAGTCTATAGTCCAGACTTTAGTCTAGTCTATAGTCCAGACTTTAGTCTAGTCTATAGTCCAGACTGTTGTCTAGTCTATATTTCAGACTATATAGTCTAGTTCATAGAACAGACTATAGTCTAGTCCATAGTAAGGATTATAGTCCAGTCTAGAGTCCAGGCTATATTCTAGTCCATAGTACAGACTATACAAACTATATTCTAGTCTATAGTCCACACTATAGACTATTTTATAGTACAGATTATACTCTAGTTTATAGTCCAAACTATAGGCTAGTCTGTAGTCTATAATCCGGACTATAGTCTAGTCTGTAGCACAAACTATAGTCTAGTCTATAGCACAAACTATAGTCTAGTCTATTGTACAGACTATAGTCTAGTCTGTACTACAAAATATACTCTGTTCTATAGTACAGACTATAGTCTAGTTTATAGTACAGACTATAGACTATATTACAGAATATAGTCTAGCCTATATGCATGTTAACAAACAATTTTAGTTTTTCGAGGGTTTTCGCCAATAAAATAATAAACTACTTACTTATTCTTATTATTTTTAATTAAACCACTTTAATTACTTATTATTTAAATCAATTAATTCATTTATTTATTTATAATTATTTCTTTTAAATTATTATTGTATGTTCAATGATGATTTCATAAATACTTTAATGATGATATTGCTGCTGCTGTGCTGTTTCATTTATACCTTTTTAAAATTAATATAAATAAATGATTTGTATACATATACATCTACATACATCTATATAAATTATTATTATTGCAAAATATATGTTTAATAATAAATTACATAATACAGGTAAATGATTTAAATGATTAGTTCTTAAAATTACAAAAAACTCAAGATATTAAAGCCTTTTAAAAAAGCTTTAATTAAACGTTCTTATAAATACAATAACAACTACAATAACTTATAAGGAAATTTAAAGAAAAAAAGCCCTACACAATGGAAAATAATAATTAATTTATTTTGGGAAAAAAACCAAACTAAGTACGTACTTTATATTTGAAAGCTAATTTGTCAGCCAGTTTAGTGATTATAAAAAAAATTAAAATAATTAAACAAAATTTGCAACTATTACAAACTACAAAAAATATAACAAATTTTATATTTCCATTTCTTATACGCAATAATAAAAATTTAATTATTTTAGGTTATTATTATGAAAACTAGTTTTATTTTTGTGAATTCTTTTAATTCAAATTATTACGTATTGAAATTTTGTTTTTATTTCTTTTTTTTCTTGTATTTGTTTTTAATATATATAAATTAGTTTAGAATATAATTTACAGACTAGACAATATATAAATTACATAATTTGTGTGTTCAATTAACTTAAATATTTAATTTATGAAATGCTTTAATTTTGATTAAGAGTTTTTTTATTTGTTTCGTTTTTTATTAATTTTTAGGCTTTTCTTTAAGCGATTAGAAAAATTTCGAGTAAGAAATTAGTATCTTTTGAATATAATATTTGTAGTGATTAGAAGTGATTAATTAGAGGGGGGAGGCCTTTAAATAGATTAGGAAAATGAAAGTTTTATAATGATAATATCGATGATTATAAAATATGTTTCTTTTACAATTTGAGTGTGTTTTAATAAGGTTTTAATTGTTTTTAGTATTCTTTGGTTTTCGACCAAAAGGCTCCATTTTAGAAGGAACCTATGACCGAGCAAAATATAAGATCCTTTATTAATTCACACATGTTTTAACGATGTTAAAAGTTAAGTGAACTCTAGTTTTTGGAGAAAATATAAGTGATTGTACAATTTCGCCTCAAACTGGTTTTAACAAAGTTTTCCATCAATAAAAGTCGAAAGATTTTTGAAACAAACTATAGGTGATCGCATAATAAAGATCTTAATTCGATTTTAATGTGTTTTAACAAAGTTTCAAGAGACTTTAGTTTTCTTGAAGCTTTCGATCGAAAAGGTCAAATTTTGAGGGACAACATGAGTGATCACAAAAAAGCTTCCTTTTCATTTATCTATCTGCGTTCTTGGTTTTCGAACAAAAGGTCGATTTTTGAAGGACAACATGCGTGATCACAAATGAGTTATGATTTTTTTTAGTCTATAGTCTAGACTATAGTCTAGTCTATAGTTTAGTCTATAGTCTAGTCTATAATCTAGTCTATATTCTAGTCTATAGTCTAGTCTAGTCTATAGTGTAGTCTAGTCTATAGTCTAGTCTATAGTCTAGTCTATAGTCTAGTCTATAGTCTAGTCTATAGTCTAGTCTATAGTCTAGTCTATAGTCTAGTCTATAGTCTAGTCTATAGTCTAGTCTATAGTCTAGTCTATAGTCTAGTCTATAGTCTAGTCTATAGTCTAGTCTATAGTCTAGTCTAGTCTAGTCTAGTCTAGTCTATAGTCTAGTCTATAGTCTAGTATAGTAGTCACAGTCTAGTCTATAGTCTAGTCTATAGTCTAGTCTATAGTCTAGTCTATAGTCTAGTCTACAGTCTAGTCTATAGTCTAGTCTATAGTCTAGTCTATAGTCTAGTCTATAGTCTAGTCTATAGTCTAGTCTATAGTCTAGTCTATAGTCTAGTCTATAGTCTAGTCTATAGTCTAGTCTATAGTCTAGTCTATAGTCTAGTCTACAGTCTAGTCTATAGTCTAGTCTACAGTCTAGTCTATAGTCTAGTCTATAGTCTAGTCTATAGTTTAGTCTATAGTCTAGTCTATAGTTTAGTCTATAGTCTAGTCTATAGTCTAGTCTATAGTCTAGTCAATAGTCTTGTCTATAGTCTAATCTATAGTCTAGTCTATAGTCTAGTCTAT